GGCCTACATGGCCCACGAGCTCCTGAGAAGCTGGAAAGCACCGCCATCAAGGAAATGCAGCCCAAGGCCTGGTGAGACGCCACTGCAACTGCCACCAGGACGGCGTGGACCGCTGACAGAGAGTTGCCAGTGCTGGTGGGCGTGGGAGACACTGGAGCCCTCAGCCCTTCTGGGAGGGCTGCAGACGGGGCGGTCACGGGAAAAGAAGACTAAGGCTGAACACAATTCCACTCCGAGGTTGCATCCAGGAGAAATGAAAACACATGAGGGAGTACCGAACAAAACCCCCAAACAAACAAAACAATGGAATATTTTTTCTAAAGTTAGGTATTTGATTTTTTTAATAAAACAACCTTATCACCTTCAAATTACTCTCCATCACACAATACATTTGTCCAATCTGTGATTCCATTCTTGGAAACATTTTTTTCAACCTCATGTTTGGATGCTGGACAGCACCTCCCTCACTTTTTCTTCACCTCACCTACGTCATCAAATCACTGTCCTTTCGTGCCCTCTGCATTCATGAAAGCAAACAGACGTCACACGGAGCGAGGTCAGGTGAGTCAGGTGCTTGGGGCAAGACAGGCATGCTCTTTTTTGCCCAAAACTGGCGCACTGAGATGGCTGCGTGAGCAGGTGTGTCCTGGTGGCAAAACCAGGTCCCCATCGGCCACAAACCAGGCCTCTTTGTTGCACACTGTTATGCAATCTTCGCAGAGCCTCTAAGTAAAAAGCTTGATGAACAGTCTGACCTGGTGGAACAAGCTCCAAAGGCACTATCCCCCGCCCAGCAAAAACCAAATGAGCATCATCTTGCTGTGATTTCACCTGACGAGCGTTTTGGGGTGAGGTGATGATGGCATCTTCCACTGGCTTGGTTGATGTTTGCTTTGGGTCGTAACACTAGCACTATGCCTCCTCAGCAAGAAGACCTTGGGGGGGGAAAGTCTGGGTCACTTGGGAACTGTTCTTTCAAAGCGCGGCATGTTTCCACTGGACGCTCTTTTTCCTGGTCAATCGGAACCAAGGCAGAAGTTTCACAGCGCCCCTTCTCATGCCCAGATCTTCCACTGAGACCCGCTGAAGCAAGCTCCGCTATCATGCAGGCACTTCCCCATCTCTTCAATGGTCCTCCGTCGGTCTTCCAGCACAAGTGCAGGGACTTGGTCAATGTTTTCATCTGTTTGGGAAGTTGACGGATGTCCAAAATGAGATTTGTCATCAATCAACATTTCACCTTTTTTGAAACGAGAAAACCATTGGGACACTTGAGTTTTTCCCATAGCGCTGTCCTTGTAAGTTGTGTTCACATCATAACAGTTTCTGCGGCATTTTTACCCGAGCAGGAAACCAAATTTCACAGCCACACACTGTTCTCTTAAATTGGCCATCACAAAAAATGAGGTTGGAGCACATATACTTTTACAAAAAAATCCACTGTGACCAGAGAGAACCTTCTGACGCCACTGGGTGCACTCACTCAGAGCGAGTTGCTCGGTTGTTTGCTTAGCGGGAAAAATGCATACTACAAAAGCTCTGCTAGGGGGAGGGACCCCCTCGTCTGTGCACACAGGTGTTCATTGTGGCATTTTTCATAATTGCCCAAATCTGGGCAAACCCCCCTGTCCCTGAACTGATGCTGATAAGCCAGTTGTGGAACATACAAACCACGGGGCATCACTCACCAGTGGGAAGGGAGGAGGTGCCCGGGCACACTGCAGTGCGGGCGCGCACTGCACACTGAGGGAGAGCAGACAGTCACAAGGTGGGCGCTCCACTCACCTAGAACAGGTCAAGCTGTCCAGATTGGAAGTCGGTTGCCTATGGTTGGAAGCAGTGGGGGTGGGGGTATGTAATAGGGAGCGGGGTTGGTGGAAATGAGGGGTTAATGGTAATGGGAACAGGTCTCCTTTTGGGAGAATGAAAGTGTTCTATAATTCTAATGGGGGCACTGGTCACACAACTGAGAAGACCCTAAGAAACACGGAATTGGGATCTTTAAATGGCTGAATTAGATGGTGTGGCATGGGAAATGTAAATAAAACATTATATATATATATATATCTTTGGAAGGGGTGGGGTGGGAAGAGATAGGAAGTCATTTGTACATAATGACTCAACAGACATGAGTTGATAAGAAGTGGAGAAGATGCTTCAATGTTTTTAGTATTACATCGGAAGTATTAACCGATCACAATGATCGACGTATACTTCTCCCTCCCACCCAAGGTGGACGGACAACAGAAACGTGGGTGGAGACTATGGATGGTGTAAGATATGAAAATAACAGTAATTTATAATTTATCAAGGGTTCAGGAGGGCAGGAGGGTGGGGGAGGGAGGGAAAAAAGAGGAGCTGATACCAAGGTCACAAGTAGAAAGAAAATGCTTTGAAACTGATGATGGCAACATCTGCACAAATGTGATTGATACAATGGATGTATGGATTGTTACAGGAGCTGTAAGAGCCCCCAATAAAATGATTTTTTAAATAAATAAATAGATTGAAAGTATTTAGGTTACATTGATAACCACATGGAGAACTCAGAGCAAAACTTCTTTGCTGTTTGACATCGACGCTCTTAAACATTCTCACGCATTAATGTGTCAAACTGTTAGCAGCAGTAAATAAGAACTTTAACTATATCAAATAAATTCCTTCTCTACAAACTTTTAAAATTTCTTGCCCTTGGGTTACTTCTAGTCTAACCCTTTAAACGGCAAATGGGAACACACTTACTACTGTACATGTGTGTGCGTGCTCTGTGTCATAAAACGTAAGCGCTCATAACATTCCATTATAATGATTATCTTTGGTGCAAGCAAATTACCTAACCTCTTGGGAAGTAATTTAAGTCTATACAACATAATTACTGTTGAAGGAAAGGTTGTTTAAAGAATCTATGTTTGTATTCAAATTTTGAACATTTCTTGTAGTTTTTAAATCTAATCTTATTTTTGTGTGTATAGATACATGTATAATACATGTGCATGTATACACATATACATACATACATGCACATTCATCATCCGATTTCTGATACCTGTACTGAGACAGCATTTCCTGATTTTAGACCAGATTAACATCTGCATTATTTATCTACTTCGTTTGTCTTAAATGGTTGTCACCTGGTTGGGAGGGTTCTTTTCAAAACCTCCTCTGGAGCAGTGGGAGTCTTGGGGATTTTTACCAAGAATCAGTTAGAGATAGGTCATGCACATCTACGAAGGGTGGCCTAGGTGGGCTATGGTCCATTCACATGGCCTTTGCAGCCATGGTTCCGGATGTGACCGGCCCTGGTGAGAGGTCACGCGCCTGCTATGCTGACTGTGGCTGTGACATCACTGCATGGCCGCTGGGAGACATATAAAAGTGTGCGGTCTAGCCTGCCCGTCAGGTCACAGCCTGAAGGTGACTCCCTGTGGGTGGGGCCCTCGCATAAGGAGAGCCCTCTTAAAATCTTGCATACATATAATCATATAGTATACACAATATATTACTGGATATGTTATACCTATAGCACAGATATATCCTATAGATACATGAGTATATATATAAACCATAGAGCAGAATATATATTTTCTATTGCAGCTTAAAAGACTCTGAGTTTCCTTTGTAGCAACTATAGAAAACCTGGTTTCGTTCTTTCTGACCTATTCATCCTGCTCTGATGGGAAGATCCCTAGAAATGGCCAATGATGCAGCAAATGATTGTACAGGGAGATTATACAGTCATACCATAGGAATATGCACCTGATGAGATTATTCCGCTCCCGAGCATCGAGTCTCTAGCCTAACGTGCAGATAACGTGCAGAAGTTCCCAGCAACCTCCGCGTGGACACTGACTTTCCAAACCGACTCTCCGAAGAGTCAGCGACCAACTCTTCAATGAAGCCCTGAGAGGTGCAGTGCGGAGAGCCTGGGGCCTGGATTCATGAGGTGGTTTTCCTCAAAATGACTCCCCAAAAGTTGTGGAGGCAGAAAACCTACACAGCTCATCTGGCACCAAAGCTTCAGTCCCCAATAGCCCAGTCACTGGAGGAGACACACACCAAATAGGTAACAAAACAAACAAAACAAAACACACACACACACACACACACACGAACCGTGTGCTGTTATGAGCAGGCGAAGGCGCTTCATCGATGACTAAGAACAGTAGCAGTAGGGAAGCATGCAGTGAGATTACTCCGTGCTCCATTGCTTAGACAATGAGGACTTTTCACACAGCCGCTTAGGCAGATAGTAACCATTGATCATGCATTAATAACCCCAGTCAAACATCACTTAATTTGCACATGTCCCGGAACCACCTCGTCCAATCATTTTATGAAACTAGCTCCGTTATCTTTCAAGGACAGGAGCAGCTGATGCAAAAACACTGTTCAAAAGTTGCCACCATTTCCCCGTGCTCCCCCCGCCTTCCTCTGAAACGGAGCAGGCTAACCTGTGCAAGAGTTTGACTTGAACGGCTCCCCTCTTTTGATTTGCTAGCACAGAAGCACACTGAAAGTACCACGGACTGCCAACGAACCAACAGATCTCTCTTGGAAGGAGTACAAGCAGAGTGCTCCTTCGAGGCAAGGGTGGCGAGACTGTGCTTTGGACACGCTGTCAGGAGAGTGGTTTCGGGAACAGGACATCGTGCTTGGTAAAGTGGAAGGGCAGCGACAAAGAGGACGTCCCTCGACAAGAGGGATCGACAGAGTGGCTGCCACCAGGGGCCCAAACATAACAACTGTGTGGATGATGCAGGACCAGCGGGTGGTGTTTCATTCTGTTGTCCAGTGGGTTGCTGTGAGTCGGAACCAACCTGGTGGCACCTAGCCACGGCACAGCCCTACACCTGCATCTACAGAGAGTGGCCAGGACGCGTGGGGATGAGCTATGCAGAAGCCCCATGAGCAGGCCTATGGGCACAACGTCAGAGGGTGCAGGGGTGTGGGGGCAGACCACGGTCTGGGAGCAGCTCCAGCTCCGCCCACCTTCCACTCACCAGCGATGCCTTCCTCCTCCAGGTGCTCCAGAGGCAGGCGGACTGAGTCGTGCTCCACGGTGCAGGTGATGACGTGCGGCCTGGCCCCTTCACCCAGGGGCTCGCGCTCAGCCTTAGCCTCTTTTCTGGTCTGGTTTTTGAGGAAATGTTGCACCACGGAGTGGATCACTAGATTATTGGACTGCAGAGACAGAGCAAAAAGAGCATTTAACAAACCTGCCCCAAGGGAAGCGTGACAACCGTCTCTCTCACTTGTGTTTTCCTTTGTGGCCCACACTGACACAGGGAAAAACCTCACTGCCATCGGGTCAGTTCCATCCGACTCATAGGGGCCCTCTAGGGCAGGGTGGGCTTCCGAGACTGTAACTGTACCGGAGCAGAAAGCCTCCTCTTAATCCCTTGGAGCAGCAGGTGGGTTTGAACCGCTGACCTGTGGTTAGCCGCCCAACGTGTCACCTCTGGGCCACCAGGGCTCCTCACTCCATCCAGCACCCACCCACCCACCCAAAAAAAACCCAGGTAGTCTCAAATCCCAGCCTCTGTGTGTCACCCTTTGAAAGGACAGAGACTTGGTGGCGTCGTTTTCAAAAATCTTCTGAGTCCATTCTCAGTCAGTTATGCCTGTTTGGTGCTAAGCAGCATTATAGACTTTTAAATTTTATAAATCTGTACACACACACACATACACACAACCAACCTGGCAGCCACTGCTGGTAGGAATATAAATTTACATAAATTCTTTTGCGGCCATTTGCCACATGGATCAGGTTCCCCGTCAACTCTTTCACTCAGCAATTCCGCTTCTAAGAATTTGTCCTACTGCTGCTGCAAAAGGAGATTTAATCATCTGGGCTGCTTTGGGTTAGCAGAACACAAGGCCTTTTGATGTCCTCCGTTAAGGGGGCGTGTTAAAGTAAATCTCACAACCTCCATTCAGTGGACTGCCCAGCAGACATAAGAAACGGGGAGGACCGGCTTGAGGTGTTGTTATGGTAAGACTATCAAACAGTATGTGAAAAAACAAAAGATAACGAGGTATGTCCAAGGAGCTGTGGTGGCTCCGCGGGAGAAAGAGGAGTCTGTCTGCTCCACTGCGCAGATGCAGCTGGGGGACCCACAGGAGTGGTTCTACTCTGTCCTATCGGGTCGCTGTAAGTTAGAATCAACTCCACAGCAGATAGAGCGGAACCTCAGAAGAAAGGCATGCCAATGTACTTCCAAAAATTCGGCCATTGAAACCCCATAGAGTGTCATTTTCCTCTGACACCCATGTGGTTGCTATGGGTCAGATTCAACTCAACGACAACTAATTTATTGGATTTTACAGCAAAATGATCGATCTCTGGACAGACATGTACTATCGGTCCCAGGAGGAGTCCTTTGAAGAAAACAAAGGGATTCAGCACGGTTTAAGGTGAGGAAAGGTGTGCAGTGGGGCTGTACCCTTTCAGCCATCTAGTCAATCTGTCTGCGGAGCAAATAGCCCACAAAGCTGAGCTCCTCGAAGAGGAACGTGGTACCAGGGTTTCAGAAAGGTTCATCATCAACCTGTGATATGCAGATGACGTAATCTTGCTTGCTGGAACTAAGGAGACCTCGAAACACTTCCTGATGGATCAGAGACTGCAGCCTTTGGCCTGGATTGGCAGTCAATATTGAGAACCCAAATGGTCCCACACCTGGAGCAATAGACGGTACCATGACTCTTGAGAAATCGAAGCTATCAACGACTTCATTCTATTGAGATCCACAATCAAGGCCCATGGAAGCAGCAGTCAAACATCAAGCAATATCGCACTGGGCCAATCTGGTGCACAAGACTTCCTTAAAATGGTTGAGGTTAAAAAGCCGCCCGTCACTTTGAGGACTCAGGGGCGAAACCCACGGCCTTTCCATGGTCTCGTATGCATGTGAAAGCTGGGCACTGAACAAGGAAGCCAGAGGGGAAAATTATGCTTTTGAGCTATGGTGTGGGCAAAGAATATTGGTAGTCCTGTGGACTGCAAAAGAACAAACAAATCTGTCTTGGAAGACATGTACAGCCAGCATGCTCCTTAGCGGCAAGGACAGTGAGACTTTGTCTCACGTATTTTGGGCATGCTGTCAGGAGAGACCTGTCTCTGGAGAAGGGCATCATGCTTGGTAGAGTGGAAGGGCAGCGGAAAAGAGGAAGACCTATGACCAGATGATTGACAGAGTGGCTGTAACGATGCCCTCCAGCATAAGGATAATGGTGAGGCTGGTGCGGGACCCAGCGGGGTTTCCTTTTGTAGTACATCAGTCCCGGCCAGTCTGCACTGACTCAATGGCAGCTAGCAACAGGTGACCCTGAACATGCCCCAACCCCCACTTCAACTGCTTGTCCTAATCTAGGGAGCTCCAGGACTCTCCTGTGCTCAGCAGAGCCTGCTGTTTCCGAGATGGCAGCACTCCCAACTGACACCCGGTAGATCACACCTCCCCAGCCCACGGCTCGCCGCAGCGCCTGGCTCCAGACTGAGACTCCTGGGCAGTTGCAGCTGAGGGTCCAGTCCCTGAGGGCCACAGGGACCTGGGTCTTGAGAGAGGAAGTCATGGCCCAGGAGCCTAGGGATCTCGGAGAGCTGGGCCAGGCTCACGGGTTCTTTGGAGCAAGCTCCCGGTCCAGGTGGTAAGGCTCATCCAGGCCACAGCATATGGCAGCACGGCCCCACTGGGTGCCGCCGTCAAGGTAGTGAACAAGACCCAGCTGGGTCCTCCCCAGCGTGGGGCTGTTTTAAACTCTCTCATTGTGGACAGGTGTGTGCACACCTGACATGTCAAGATATCCACCTCACCAGGGGATTCTGGCTTACAGTGCAAGCAGTCCGCCCCGTTAAGCACTGGTTGCTGACCAAAAGGTGGGGTTGAACCCACCAATGGCTTTATGGAAGAAAGATGCGGGGGTCTGCTTTGGGGAACCCCATGGGGCAGTTCTGCTGTTCTCTAGGAGTCACACGGACCCCAAGCGTCCGGTTTCATAACCTCACTGGAGCCCCTAAATGAGTTCCCCGGATGTGCCATCACCACCACCCGGGAGGCAGGTCACAGATGACGGGCATGTCAGACTCGTTCCGTCTTACATTCATTCTGGGTGTGGGTGGGGGTCCGTCTTTGTAGCTTTACTCTGAGACTCGCCGGGCCAGCAATCTTTCTGTCTGTTGAAACCATGGGGCTTGGCATTTGTGAACGGCCTACTCAAATGTCTTGCCCATGCGTCTTTTGGGTTCTCTGCCCTTGAATGACTGTCGGGGTTACTTTAGGTTACAGATACTAGGCCTTGGTCAGTTACGTATTACAAATACCTTTGCTCACTCTGTAGCTTGTTTTCTTCAAAGTGTCCTTTAAGGGATTTAATTTGGTGTTTTGCTATATACTTTATCAACCTTTCCCTTTATGGTGAATGTGTTCTAAGGAATCTATTACCTAAGGAATCTATTATCACTCTTAAACATTATGAAGATACCAACTTTTAGTCTCTCCAAAATTTTTGTCAATTTTACTTTCCGCATCAGGGGCTTAATTCCACCAGGAAATTCCCCCCACCCCTCCCCATCCCTGTTTGGTGTAA